CAGTTAATAAACCACCGTTATTACACATTTAAATCTGAAGAAACACTAAATAGACAAAATAAAACAAATCACACAACTTCACTCCTCGCGTTCCCGCCAAAAAGTCTCAGAATTATTAAATTATTTCGCAGGTTCCATTCAGTTCTATCGCAAACGGAAACAGTTTTACCGTTTATAAATGTACGTGATGTAAACAAATATTTAGAACGTGGAGCTTCCGAATCAACCCAAAACTAAATAATCGCATTACACAGAGACACGAGAAATCCGAACACATCAGTCAACAATCACAATCAACACTTGAAAACGCGCGCAGATCATTAGTAAGCGAATAACAATAACACAACTCCTTCCCTTTGTTAGACTAAGGCCCTTGAACTGTCGATTACGTGAAGGGAGACCTCTTAATGGGCCGAAACGGATGGTGTGTCAAAGGGGAGAACATAAGGACCTATATACAATGAGGTCAAAAATTAAATCTTACGTTAATTGTAAATCTGCATGCAGGGTTACTAACAGTTGTATACTTAGGTGAATTGAGATGGAATCTTTGATATAAATAGTCAATATAGTTTGAGAACTACAAAAATCTTCATTCTGTTTATCATATTATGGTTTGGTTTTTAGGCCTAACTAGAAACTTGAAATATTCAAGATAAGCGGACGTCTTTTAGTTGCTGAAAATTGAGTTGAAAAAACAAGACAAAATAATAAAACGTGTAAATAATGAATGAACAGCACCCCACGCTTTTTTTACAATAAAATCATTTTTTCTTACACTATTTTTAATTCAAATTTATTAAAATTGATTTTCTATTTTTTTAGTTGGATTTTCTATAAAAGCGTATTTTGTTAGTTTTTTTAAACTATTATTTATTTTTAATTTTTTTATTGAATTTTTTCAATATATTTTTTTTATATTGAATTGTCATTGGTCCTTAATAAGTATACTAAATTTCGAGTTAATCCGACGTTTTGAAGAGGGTTAAAATCATGTTCAAAGATTCCGTTACATGCTAACATATTAACATACATACGTCTGAAGCTAATAAAGGCGTATTAAAAATAATTGTGTACCTACCCTTTCATTTGATTTTCACGTAAAATATGTTTTGTTCCATTTAAAAACTTACTTACTCAACTACGTATTGATTCAAATGGGCAAAATATTATGACTTTTACAGCGAAAAATCTTTTTGAAGTGTGAAATAATTAACAAAAACTTAAACCTCATCAAACTGTTATGACACACTAGAATGCGCATCCTGTGCCTCCTACCCTCGATGCCAGGAATCCACCCAGCTGGCGGCATGTAAGCATCTAAAAATACTAAAACCCAACTACAAAGTGTTATAAAACAAACATTTAAGCACACATCAACCGTATTGCTTTGACGGATTGTTTACGTTAAGATAAAATATGACAGCGTTAACAAGTTCAACGTTTGAGAAGCGTGGTCGGCTCGAAGTGTGGGTCTGGCTTGTTATTTGTCAAAAGTTTAACAACCTTTGTTTATGTAATAAATCAATAAAACTAATTATGTATTAACAATGTTCATGTTTTTTCGTGTGATCAGTGGTTGATGATTCTTTTACCTACTTTTTTTTTTTATTGCTTAGATGGATGGACGAGCTCACAGCCCACCTGGTGTTAAGTGGTTACTGGAGCCCATAGACATCTACAACGTAAATGCGCCACCCACCTCAAGATATAAGTTCTAAGATCTCAGTATAGGTACAACGGCTACCCCACCCTTCGAACCGAAACGCATTACTGCTTCACGGCGGAAATAGACGGGGTGGTGGTACCTACCCACGCGGACTCCCAAGAGGTCCTACCCTAGCAAGAGCAGTGCTTCTCAAATTCTACCACCGGATCAGAATGGCGAGCCATTGAGAAGATCCGACGAGAAACCCAGTGGGCTGTGTCTATGGGAAGTTGATGAAGAATTTAAGACGAAACCTTGTTTATGTGTTTTAAATTGGGTGATGACAGTTTTGGTGTCGTATCCGGTATGCTATTCGTTCACATGAGCTCGTCTGACCGTCTAGACTGAATTTTTTTTAATTGGGATAAATAGTAACCCGAGCCTGGATTTAAAAACGGCGTACAAGAATGTACCGTACCGTATATCTTCAAAGCGACTCCAACATTATTATAAAATATTAAGTTACACAATATGCATCGGCAAAGACATTATCACGATTAGAATGAGCACGTTGATCACGACGTCACTGTAAAGGCATACCCGATTGGTCCGGTCGCGACGACGATTGTAACAAATCTTGCGAAAGGTCAAAATAAATTATAAATATCAAGGAAATTAGTACATTGTCTTGATCACAAAAATTTAGAACTGCGCCATCTATTGAGGGAATTTTTATTTATTTATTTATGTACACACAAAAAAGTAGACATAGTACAGAGTAATAGGAAAATGATGTATTAAGAAATCTCTTCCAGCAGACCTGCTGCAGAATTTTTAAAAACTTGAAAAAAAATAGGTAATTTTTAAAAAAAAAATGATACTTCGTAATTACTTATATAATAAATATGTTTATCGTAGTTTTACTGGTCTCTAAAAGTTAAAACTGTCTGCTGTAAGTCAGAAGTATCAGATACCTTTGCAGTTAACTTTTCTGGTTCTACGGAGTGTTTTTTTGTGTAATAAAAATAGCCTTCATATTCAAATATGTTTTCCATAACAACTTTTTACTATGAGTTTGTGTAGCGTGTACTGCTGTAGCCTTGTAACGTCGGCTTATGCTAACTACGATTACGTTACAACAAGGTTAAAGCGACCGAGAAAGGTAATTATTTTTGTAAGAACATGTACAGAAATAAGCATTATTTAAATTCTAATTGGACACTTGCGCTTATTAAAAATTAACAAATATAATTTTTGTACATGTTTTTCTGATGGAAACTTTTGTTTTTAAGCTCCTCATGTTTTACCTTTTATCGGGTACTGTTATAAAATTGTGGACGGGAAAATAGTATTTCTCATAAAACATTACAAACCATTACAAAAAAAAAAAAAAGTCGTGAAAGTTTAAATTTAGCATTTAGCAATTACCAGATTAATTGAAAAGGACGGATCCATGAATCTTTAATTACATTCATGTCGCATACGATTCGTGTGAAGGATCCCTTGGAATGTTTTCTAGATGTTTCTAAATGTATATTTACACAGATATAATATTCCATTACCTCATTTGCATTACGTTAGTATTTTCATAGTACAACATACAAGACTGTGTGTTATTAGTGAAAGGCGAAACAGAAATGTTCTCTCAAATTACATTGGTCGAAAAACAAGTTGACATAAACGACACCAACGTCTGTATTATTGTCTGTATTAGAGGTCCCGCAGTAGTCGAAATTCGACTATAATTAATTGGAATTGTAATTTTGTACACTATTATGATTGTATTTTATACTTCTATAATCACAAATTTCGCCAAAACTACACTATAAAAAATATTAACAAAGACAAATAATATTTAACCTCAATTTGACAACAGACGTCAAGAACAAAAGTTTGACAATAAATAAATAGTATGCGTGCGTGTGTGCATCAAATACATGGTATGTAGTTTGTGTAATGTTTTATTTATTGATTTAATGTATCTTTTATGCATTATTTTATAAAAAAAAATTAGGATTGTGCACTTCTTCTCTATATTCTCTATAAGTGTGGAAAATTTCATACTCCTCCGTCCGCGCAATTTTCGTAAAAAGGGATACAAAGTTTTTGCTTCACGTATTAATATATAGATAACAGTGACAACAAACTGTCATTGCTGCTAACATTGAGAAATCGCAAATAGATTGTTACAACTAAAAAAATGAAATAAACTCCAAGAAACGTTGACAAATCAAATATTACAATGCTCAATTGTGTTTATCCAAATACATATCTTTATGAATACGAATTTATTAATTTGATTACTATTACATAAAAGTAGCAGTTTTGTGTGTATATTGAAGAAATATACTGAAGTAATTGAATATGTATCGCGCACGTCGTTTTGATATCGAATGGCAGATTTTATTTTAATCTTAAAAAAAAAAACATATTTTCTCTTAACATTATGACTTAATCATCAAGATTTTTGAATTCAAATATTTTTTTAAATTACGCAGTTCACACTTAATACAAATTATCGAACTATAGACAATTCTTTGAATGTGCTCATAATATATATCCTCGCTCATTAGATCTAGTTATTTTTTCTTTTTACCAAGAAGACACAACCTTTGATAACATTGAATAAAAAATTATTATTTTTTTATAATTAAGGGGCATCTTGACCGAGCGCTGTAGGAATAAATATATATGGACTATCAGTCTGCTTAGTGATGGTAACTCTTCACTAGGCGTCTACTAGACTAACTTGGGCTAAGAGCCAACGAGGTGGACCGATGACTTTGTTTAGCCCACAGACACAGCCCACTGAGTTTCTCGCCGGATCTTCTCAGTGGGTCACGTTTCCGATCCGGTGGTAGATTCTACGAAGCACGGCTTTTGCTAGGGTTCGTGTTAGCAACAACGTTAGGTTTGAGCCCCGTGAGCACACCTACTACACTCGCGAGCAAAAGTTTGGAATCACTTACTTGAAATTGATTCCGCGCGATCTTGTGTACTAAATATTTTTTTGATAATCATAAAAATGAGATCATTTTAAAGGTTGAATTCCTAACTTTAAACTGATACCAAATTCATTAAATCAAGCCAGTATTTAAGAAGTTATCTTGGATTAAGTGAAGGAATAACGAAAAAGACGTGTTTCAATTGCTTGATACGTCGCGAGTTGCGGCCTACTGACCCCTATAAAAGCACCTGTTATCGGATTTTCTTTATCAGTCGACTTTCACACGTTGACTGGTACATATCTCGGCTACTTTTGACCCTTTACCTTGTACGACAATTTGGACAACACCTACAGAAGTAGCACAAATCGTAGCCCTATTGCAAGAAGAGCTCAGCCAGTGGATTGTCGCTCGTCGGCTCCAAATAAGCCATTCCTGTGTTTCAAAAGTTTGCAAGCGCTTTCAAGAGACTGGTAGCTTTATCCCGAGACCAAGATCTGGACGGCGCCGGGGCACATCGGAGAGGAATGACCGTTTTATCGTGTTAACCTCTCTCAGAAATCGGCATTAACCTGGTGTCGACATCCAACAGGAGCTCCGAGATGTTCGTAGGGTAGCAGCTAGCAAGTAGACAGTTCGTCGACGACTCAAGCAAGCGAATCTGACTCCAAAAAGGCCTGTCACAGGCCCGAAACTCACGGTAGCTCATCGACAAGCACGCCTTTAATTTGCTCGTACCAATCTTAATTGAGAGGTTGAGCAATGGAGGCAAATCCTGTTCTCCGACGAGAGCAGGATGTGTTTGCATGGTAGCGACCGAAGAGGTTGGGTCTACAGGCGGCCTGGGGAGCGATTTGCGCAGTGCTGTTTCGCTGAAACAGTGGCTTATGGGGTCGGCTCTTGTATGATGTGGACCGGCATTTCCTTCGACGGTAAAACCGAGCTTGTTTTCGTGCCTGGCGGGGGACGAGGAGGCGGTCAACTTCGGACGGGTACATTTCCAATATTCTGCTGGAACATGTCGTTCCCTATGCGGGATATGCCGGTGATAGCTTCCTCCTTAAGCACGATAACGCTCGTTGTCACACTGCCCGTGGAACAACTGAATACTTCGAAGAAGTCTATATCGCCACATTGGACTGGCCTGCGCTCAGCCCTGACTTGAATCCTATTCAGCACGTGTGGGATGAACTGAAGAATAGGGTTCGTTCCAGAACTTCTGCTCCTTCATGCCTGAATGAGCTGAAATCGGCGTTGATTGAGAAGTGGGAAGGTATCCCACAAGAATCAATTCAAAAGCTGATCAGGTCTATGAAGAATCGTCTTCGAGGAGTTATTAGGGCAAGGGAAGGGAACACAAAGTACTGACATTTAATTTTAAGGCTAAATAAAATTTTTATTTATTAATTTTTGTTGTTTTATGCATTCATTATTTTTCCATATTTCCTTTGTTTCCTACCTCCTTCACTTAATCCGGAATAGCTCCTTAACTACTGGCTCGATTTGAATGAATTTGGTATCAGTTTAAAGTTAAGAGTTCAACCTTTAAAATGATCTCATTTTTATGATTATCAAAAAAATATTTAGTACACAAGATCGCGCGGAATCAATTTCAAGTAAGTGATTCCAAACTTTTGCTCGCGAGTGTAGTTAGGGTTACGCTGAAATAGCCTCTCAAGGCTATCAGATTAGATAGGAAAAAAAAGATAACCTGGTCAAAGTAGCTGATAGGGACTTAATACGAAAGGCAAGGGACCAAAGAGAATGGGGTGCATTCGAAAAGACCTACACTTAGCATTGGGTGGATACGGGTTGAAGAAGAGAGTTAATCTTTTTCCTGCGATGGTCGCACAGACTTACAACCCGTTTGTGTGGTCATCATGGATATGGCTGGGTCGTAGCTACTGCTACTGCCTTCTGTGTGCGTCTGTTGTCCTGATCCGCAAAAATGACGATTAAAAAAAACTCCGCATACCAAGGGCATAGTCTAGCCACTGACTACTACCAACGCAGCGACTTTTAAATAGGCAGTGTTATGTAGTTTTAAGAACAAAAAAATAATGAGCTCCTCTCGATCATCACCTGTGTCCTCGTGGTCAGTCATTTTTAGGTTAGATTCGAAATAAGAACACAATTAAATAATAGCAGAATAGAAACGGGATGATCTCGGAGTTCACAATGGTGACTTCAAAGATAATGCCTTCTCTCTCAAATGTCTGTCTAGTCATCCCATCGTCATAGACTAACATTTTTTTTAATTGCGTTTGTAGACAGACCAGCATACGGCCCACCTGATGGTAAGTGGTCACCGTCGCTCATGGACGTCAGCAATGCCAGGGGCAGAGCCAAGCCGCTGCCTATCATAAAGTACTCTCCGCAAGCCTCGTTTGAAGAAGGACATGTCATAGCGCTCGGAAATGTCACACGTTATGCACATATTAACTGACACTTACTATAGGTAACTGTCCAATGAACGAGTCAATAACTGTAACCATAGACAACTACGATCGCAGCGCCATCTTCGATTCCATCCAGGTAATTAGCCTTATGTTTCTAAGCTATTTCAAATGATATTCAGACATTTTTTTTAAATTCAAGTACGGGTCTGGCCGCGGGACATAACCAGATATTTTAAAGCACGTATTTATCAAATCAGTTTGGAGGTCAACATTACGCGGGTCTACGGTCCGACACATATGCATAATTATACTATTCACTACGTTATGATATATTTAAAAGAGCGCATACTCAATTTAGCACCGTATGCTGTATATCAATAGGGTTGTCGAATCGGAACGCCAAGATAACGCGAGTAATAAAATATGAAAACTGAAAAAAAATATTGCCAAGCTATTGAAGCTACCGTCATCCTGGCCACTTATACTTCACAACAGAAGCTACTTCTAATTTAATGGGTGAGATAACCGTTGCACAATACAAATGTGAATTCGACCTCACGTCTTTTTTATATTTTTTATATTGCATAGATGGGTGGACGAGCTCACAGCCCACCTGATGTTTAGTGGTTACCGAAGCCCAAATACATCTACAACGTAAATGCCGTCACCTACCTTGAGATATAAGTTTTAAGGTCTCAGTATAGTTACAACGGCTGCCCCAGCCCTTCGAACCGAAAAGCATTACTGCCTCGCGGTAGAAATAGACACGGTGGTGGTACCTCAGAGGACGTCTTACCACTAGTAAAGGGCAGTATACACTTTGTGATGCCTACGGTATCTAGTAATCAATCCACCCCAGCTGAACAGTAAGCTAAGTCGCCTATCTTCTCTATAGATAAAAATGAATTGCTGTTCGTTAGTCTCGCTAAAACTCGAGAACGGCTGGACCGATTTGGCTAATTTTGGTCTTGAATTATTCGTGGAAGTCCAGGAAAGGTTTAAAAAGTGAGAAAATATAAGAAAGCTCGGAATTATATAAAAACAAACAATTTTGTTTTTCCTTTGATGTGTCTTTTATTTATCGATTGAGGCACTACGAAGTGTGCCGGATCAGCTGGTGTGCAATAAAATAAAATATTAAGGAAATTTAGCGTTTTCTTAAAAAAAATTATAAACACATAATGCAATCGTTCGCACCAATAAATATACAACAAGTTGCATGTGTATTAATTATCAACGTACTCTTTATCTCAGGGCTGCTCAAACCACGGGCCGCTTGATTAATCTGCGCGCTAATATACTTTAATTGTACTATAATCAATAGACTGGTGGTAGGACCTCTTGTGAGTCGGCACGGGTAGGTACCACCACCCCGCCTATTTCTGCCGTGAAGCAGTAATGCGGTTTGAAGGTGGGGGCAGCCGTTGTAACTATAGTGAGACCTTAGAACTTATATCTCAAGATGGGTGGCGCATTTACGTTGTAGATGTCTATGGGCAGTAGCCACTTAACACCAGGTTGGCTGTGCGCTCGTCCAACCATCTAAGCAATAAAAAAAAGGTTTTCATAGTTCGTTTTTGTTTTTTTATTTATTTAAAGCACTCAAAATTTATGAAAACGTGAATGGAGTAATATTTCCTTGATAACATTTACTTTATATGAGAAGCCAGTGTATGATTTATTTCATTCTAGCTGACCCGGCAGACTTCGTAGTGCCTCAATCGATAAATAAAAGACCTAAGCTTTTGTATAAAATAAACTTAAAACAAACAAAAATAATCCGTCTGACGGGGGACACGTCAAAGGAAAAACAAAATTGTTATTTTTATGTAATTCCGAGCATTTTCATATTTATCTAATCTTTTAAACCTTCTCTGGACTTCAACAAATAATTCAAGACCAAAATTAGCCAAATCGGTCCAGCCGTTCTCGAGTTTTAGCGAGACTAACGAACAGCAATTCATTTATATATATATATATATATGTATATTTTTTTTCGGACCCTCTAGCTTGGACACCCCTACTTCAGCTAATAGACCGAGGCGACCTGGATACATATGAAGCGGTTAATTAGCTATGACGTTTATATGTGATTTACGTAATACACTCTCGGTTTCATTTGCTTAGTATGCGTGAACTTCTTGCGTGTTTTCCGGGAATCTTTTAAGACGAAACCTTGAGTTGATGTCAGATTTAATCCGGGCAAACCAGCTCACAGCTCACCGTAGCTGAATAGAATCCGGAGACACGTCCTTACGGATCCATCAGATCCAATAACCTTTGCATCAGACGCCGTCAGCTCTAACACTAGGAGCAGGCTTAGGGACCTCGGTAACCGTACTCGTCGGACTCGACAAAGAGTTCGCCGTGCAACCTAACCCATGAATCAGCTCGCTGAGTTTCTCGCCGGATCTTCTCAGCGGGTCGCGATTCCGATCCGGTAGTAGATTCATTCGCGAAGCAGTTACTCTTGAGCTGTTAGGTCTCCTTCGGAGGCGCTCGGGTAGCTGTTAGCAAATCCCACCCCTCCTGGCTGAGCCTTTATTCGCCCACCTGTCCTGGTGAAACTGGAAAGGCCTCCGGGCCACAAGTAATCTTTCAATCATAAAAAAAAATCCGGAGATAAAATGAGCGATCACCGCTATTTTAAAATATTTTTTCTTAAATTATATATTTCATTTTGAAGATTCAATGTTGCATTTCATGCTTCTTTCTTTACAAGTGTATACAAGGTGCAACTTTGTATTCTTAATTCACTCTTTTATAGATGAGATTTTGAAAAAACAAAATCCGATATATATGTACTTTGATTTCTAGTCAGAACTAGGTATGTGTGTATAGGGAACTTGATCTTTTTACTTGGAAAATGACGGAATTTCCTCTTTTTCCTGTGTCATGGTCGGGTTTAGCTAGTAACAAAATATAAGTAATTAATTGGCATTTCGTTGGAAAGTTTCTCAAAAATTTTGATTAAATATTTGTTTTAATTCAATTAAAATCTTTTACAGCTACTGTTACGCCGGTAAGAGTATCGAAGGATCTAGTAGCATCTAGAACGATCGAGAAGTACAACGCCGTCTATTGTCAGATAGCGGAAACACACATCGAAGTTACTCGACTTGTGAGGAATGTTCTCGACGATTCTAGGGATTTCGTCTCGACTATAAAAGTGTTGCAGAGATGGCACGCAGTCAGTCAGTAATCGGAACTACTCGAAGCGAAACAGCGAACGGATGACCTGAAGCGAAGCGAAAGAAGCGAATTGCGAATTTTAAAGTGTTTGTGAAGCGTTTTAAGTGTTGAATACAGTTTTTAGTTGTACTCTGGTGGAACATTTATTTATCCCGAACCCCCCGCACGTAACACTGCTTAACTGTTTATAATTAATGTCGGGTTTTAGGTTATTCGTAATGCTACTATATCGGGCGGATGTAATGAATGCATCGGTTTGTACACCTGCCGCGAACCAGTTTCCGATAACCGGTCCCAAATACCATTCAAGATCAATACAAATGTATATATTTAATCTTTTATAATCGGTGCTTATGATTAAGAGAATTATGAGTACGAGGTTAAGTGATTATGTTTTTTTTTTATTGCTTAGATGGGTGGACGAGCTCACAGCCCACCTGGTGTTACTGGAGCCCATAGACATCTACAACGTCAATGCGCCATCCACCCTGAGATATAAGTTCTAAGGTCTCGGTAACAACGGCTGCCCCGCCCTTCAAACGGCATTACTGTTTCACGGCAGAAATAGGCGGGACGGTGGTACATACCCGTGCGGACTCACAAGAGGTCCTACCACCAGTAATTACGCAAATTATAATTTTGCGGGTTTGGTTTTTATTACACGACGTTATTCCTTCACCGTGGAAGTCAATCGTGAACAATTATTGAGTACGTATTTCATTAGAAAAATTGGTACCCGCCTGGGGTTCGAACACCGGTGCATCGTTCAACACGAATGCACCGGACGTCTTATCCTTTAGGCCACGACTTCAAAAATGCTTTAATTGCCTCAGCGAACTGAAGTTAATTTTTTTATCGTTTTAATGCT